GATGTTACTGAGTTAGAACACTGTGTGGTGATGTTAGAGAGGATTGCGTCAGTACCATACCTCTGCTGCCTCTTGTTCACCTAATAGTAAATAGGTTGCTGGTGATAGTCGACTATCGTGAGCGGTAAGCTGGGAGAAAGTGATAGTATGCCTTGGTATCAAGTTTTGTAAAGAGTTGAGCTGGGATAGCATCTTTTGCCTGTGTATTCACTTGTTTATGAAGGAAGTTTGTGTCATATAAGATGGTAGTGGGACTTTTTCTTGGTTTGAGCTGGCTGGTTTACCCTGCGGCAAGTACCGTTAAACACTCTTACCACACACTTTACCCACTCTAAGCGAGGCAAATTCGCAGCTGTGAGACAGGAATAATAACCTCATAACTGTTGCCAAGAGCCACATATCTCTGGTTAGTGAGACTGAGACTCAGAAACTCATTGGTTAAAACATTAACCTGATTCTTCCTGAAGAAGATACGTGTTGACCATGAAGATACCAGGTTACTTTGTTTCGCAGCGTCACTCATGACGTGCGAAAAACACTTCACTCATGTTCCATAAGCAACTTTATGACTTTTATGTAGTAAATACCAATTACTCGTTCCAGTGGTGAGAGGTTCAACAGTAACCACTTAACAAATACTTCGTGTAAGGGTACAGTGTTGACCTGGATGCTGCTAGTAAAGTATATTAACTCAAGGACCTGTAATCTCCCTCTCTTTCCATGTATTAATCCTGATTACCTCCATTAACTAAGCACTCAATGTCCCTCACGTGCTTGACTATCAGTATAATTATAGCTTTGTAGGGCTGTTGTTATGTCAATGTCATCTGACGGACATTGGTTGAAGCCTGCAGTATACCTTGTCTACACACCATGTTAACTAATATGTTATAGTGTTTGCTTACGTGTCTTTCTAAACCAACTTGTCGGTATTTATTACCAAGGTTTATACCAACTTCAATCTAATATCTGTTTGCTTTATTTGTGTTCCAATAATGGTTGAGAATAAATATACGTAAATATTTCCAGTTCCAGAGTGCATCTCAAGGAGTACAGTTAGTTCATCTGTGAGAGAGTACTACCAGTCAGTCCATCTGTAAGAGGGTACTACCAGTCAGTCCATCTGTAAGAGGGTACTACCAGTCAGTCCATCTGTAAGAGGGTACTACCAGTCAGTCCATCTGTAAGAGGGTACTACCAGTCAGTCCATCTGTAAGAGGGTACTACCAGTCAGTCCATCTGTAAGAGGGTACTACCAGTCAGTCCATCTGTAAGAGGGTACTACCAGTCAGTCCATCTGTAAGAGGGTACTACCAGTCAGTCCATCTGTAAGAGGGTACTACCAGTCAGTCCATCTGTAAGAGGGTACTACCAGTCAGTCCATCTGTAAGAGGGTACTACCAGTCAGTCCATCTGTAAGAGGGTACTACCAGTCAGTCCATCTGTAAGAGGGTACTACCAGTCAGTCCATCTGTAATAGGATACAGTCAGTCTCTCTGAAGACAGTAGTCAGTTCATCTGTAAGAGGCTACAGTCAGTCCATCTGTAAGATAGTACAGTCAGTCCATCTGTAAGAGGATACAGTCAGTCGATCTTACAAAGATACAGTCAATCCATCTGATAAAACTTGCTTGGTTACTCTGTTCTTGTTAAGTTTCAGCTTCTGTATCTCCATCAAGGAAAGGAAGCCAACTATGGCTCTTTCTTACTCAGCCATTTTAGTTTGTGCTGACTAAGCTTAGTGTAACACAGCCCCGGCGTCACACACACTCACAATACACTATTCGAACAAGAATTGGAAAGCTGTACACAGACTCAGAATACCTAGTATAACTGTATTAATAACTTGTTACGATGATGCTAATTTCTTGCTGTAGTGAAGAGTTTACTGACATTACAGGGATCATAATAACAATGTTAACAAAACAACTCTGCCTATACTAGATGCAGTTGAAACTGTCTCAGTAATTTCCTCTAAGTCACAGACTACAAGTCAAATAAATACTGACGACATGGGCAATCTTCCCGCTGTTTAGACCGAAAAACGGATGGCTTAGTAAGGCACTCAAGACTCAAACTTCACAACCAGAGTTGGTTGGTTAATTAGGTTTGAATGCTATCTACTAAACGAGAGTCATTAAGGTTGCATATTACCTGTATATTACCAGTCAAAATACTTTAATACCTAAGACAGGGACTAATGTAAACTATCAGTGTATATATACTAGGAGGTATACACTTCTCAGTGTTTACCTGGAGCTTACCTGGAGAGAGTTCCGGGGATCAACGCCCCCGCGGCCCGGTCTGTGACCAGGTGTCATGGTGGATCAGAGCCTGATCAAACAGGCTGTTACTGCTGGCTGCACGCAATCCAACGTACGAGCCACAGCCCGGCTGATCAGGTACCGACTTTAGGTGCTTGTCCAGTGCCTGCTTGAAGACAGCCAGGGGTCTATTGGTAATCCCCCTTATGTATGCTGGGAGGCAGTTGAACAGTCTTGGGCCCTGACACTTATTGTATGGTCTCTTAACGTGCTAGTGACACCCCTGCTTTTCATTGGGGGGATGTTGCATCGTCTGCCGAGTCTTTTGCTTTCGTAGTGAGTGATTTTCGTGTGCAAGTTTGGTACTAGTCCCTCTAGGATTTTCCAGGTGTATATAATCATGTGTCTCTCCCCTCCTGCGTTCCAAGGAGTACAGGTTCAGGAACTTCAAGCGCTCCCAGTGTATATATGTCCTGTATGTCACCACGGAAAGTTTACATACCGTTATGAATAACTATTAATCGTTTAAATTGAGCACAAGATGAGATTAATGTTACACACACTAACAACAAATATCCCAAACCTCTCCTTTAAAGTGCAGGCATTGTACTTCGCACCTCTAGGACTCAAGTCCGGCTAACCGTTTTCCCTGAATCCCTTCACAAAATATTACCCTGCTCACACTCCAGCAGCTCGTCAATTCCCAAAAACCATTCGTCTCCACTCACTGCCCTTAGACACGACATCTCCACTGCCTCCAGCCTCCTCTTTGCTTTAACATTCACAACCCATGCTTCACACACACATAAATGTTGGTACCACTATACTCTCGTACATTCCCTTCTTTGCCACCATGGATAACGTTCTTTGTCTCCACGAATACCTCAGTGCACCACCCACCATTTTTCCTTCATCAATTTTATGGTTTACCTCGTCCTTCATAAACCTATCCGCTGACAAGTCTACTCTTAAATATCTGAATACATTCTCTTCTTCCATATTCCCTTCCAATCTGATATTTAGTTTTTTCTTTCTCTAACTCGTTTGATACCTTCATCACCTTACTCAAACCTGTGTTGACACTTTCCCAAACTCGTCAACTAACCTGTGGAACTTCTCTCCAGAATCTCACAATAGAACAGTATCATCAGCAAAAAAAAATAACTGTGTCAACTCCCATTTTGTAAAAAGAGGGTAAAAGAGGCTCTGTGTGCAAGGGGCTTGGACATACAGCAGGTATGTGTGAGCGTGTTAGATAGGAGTGAATGGAGACGAATAGTTTTTGGGACCTGACTAGCTGTTGGAGTGTAAGCAGGGTAATGTTTTGTGAAGGGATTCAGGGGAACCGGTTAGCCAGACTTGAGTCCTGGACGTGGGAAGCCTCAACAAGCAGTATTTTATGTTAATGTAACCACGAACATGTGGTTTTCGCTCACCATAAGGCGGGCCAAAACAACATGGGCTCGAGTCCTTGACTAGTCGCAGTGTTGTTATTGATCAGTACCGCTTGTTCGTGGTTACAGTAATATAAAATATTGCTCGCTGAGGCTAGTACACCAAACGAGGAGTAGAATGAAATTAGCTCAGAGGTACCCACACCACCGTATGTCCCCGGATCACGGTAAAACACCTAGCTCTGCTAAGTGCGTGATACTTGCAGGATTTGGTGATCCTGTGGGTTAGAGCGTCATGTGGTTTTCGCTCACCATGAGGGAGGCCAAAGCAACATGGGGTTCAAGTCCTTGGTTAGTCGCAGTGTTGTTAATGTTATATATATATATATATATATATATATATATATATATATATATATATATATATATATATATATATATATATATATATATATATATATATATATTGTGGTGTTATATAACGTAAGTAAGTATAAACAGTTTATAATCAGATAAAGCATGAACATAAAAATTAATGGTTATATATAACCTGGGTACAGACAGTTTATAATCTCATATAGTTAATTATGAAGGTATATAACTATTAGTTTATATAAATAACTTTCTTTAATAACAAATTTATTTAGAAAAGTAATTCTTTATCTTGGTGTGTACATTCGCATCAGACTTAATAATTATAAATACATTGTCCACAAAATAATTTTATATAAATAATCTGTGCGTCGTAACAACAATTTACAGAATAAAACTCTGAAATATAATTAGGATCGTAGATAAAAATATTCATATATACATTGTGAGAGAACCAACGAGATACTCTCAAGTGCTCGTTATATTCTTCTCCCAGGCTACACTCACCACTAATTTAACTAAAGTGCATTCACCTCCTCCACCACCACTTTATATACATATATATATATATATATATATATATATATATATATATATATATATATATATATATATATATATATATATATATATATATATATATATAATATATATATATATATATATATATATTAGTGTGTGTGTATAGAGCAACCAGTGTAAAAAATAGTGAAATTCCAAGCACTTTCGTGATTTCTCACATTATCGAGGACCTGTAAAAATAAAAGAGTAAAAGGACGGTATATAAGGACGAGACTACAACATGTGACTTTTTTATGAATATGTAAGTAGGTAGTGAAGGATAAGTGAAACACAACTTATAATATAACGTAGGTGAGAGAGTATCAGAGACTGAAACATGATAGTTTCTTCTGCATGTAAACTTCTGTTTGTATTTTGATGTGAGTTGTATGTTGTTATTGTTTATTGCATGTTGATGCTGCTACATAATAATATGCTGTACTCACGCTCCTGTTGCCTAGATTAAGTACTAGACAGTGAAGGTAGGCAGCTGTGCCAGTCAGACCAGACACATTATGAGGCGCTGACTGGTCGAACCTTGGTTGTGGGTCCTCTGATTGCACCTCTCCCTCCTCGCTGCCACTCAGGTCCAGTAGCGGTCTGATGGGCTCCACCGGACTGCTGCTGCTGCCGCTCAGAGCCATCTCCAGGTTCACGATGACTCCGCTGGTATCAGCATTAATACTAGCACTTCTAGTGACACGTGCTGAACCAGGATTCTCACTTTGGTGTGGCAGGTGAGTGTAAGCCGAGTGTATCGTTGATGATAGCACTACACAAGCTCCTGTGTAACAAGCAAATTTTGTTTAACATTCTCAAGTACACACTTAACATTCACCAGTACATAATAAACATTCACCAGTACATAATAAACATTCACCAGTACATAATAAACATTCACCAGTACATAATAAACATTCACCAGTACATAATAAACATTCACCAGTACACAATAAACATTCACCAGTACATAATAAACATTCACCAGTACATAATAAACATTAACCAGTACACAATAAACAATCACCTATATACATTGTAGTAAACAGTCACTTGTATATATAAGTTTAATTTAGATTTTTATCTGTCTTAATATTCAGGACGTAAGTGAATATATTGTGGTAGGACATTATTAGTGAAGTGATGTGAAGTGAGCAAGGTGGTGACAGGAGACATGTCTTCAATAAAATGTTTTACATTATTAGTAAAGTGATGTGAAGTGAGCAAGGTGGTGACAGGAGAGACATGTCTTCAATAAAATGTTTTACATTATTAATGAAGTGATGTGAAGTGAGCAAGGTGGTGACACGAGACATGTCTTCAATAAAATGTTTTACATTATTAGTGAAGTGATGTGAAGTGAGCAAGGTGGTGACACGAGACATGTCTTCAATAAAATGTTTTACATTATTAGTGAAGTGATGTGAAGTGAGCAAGGTGGTGACAGGAGACATGTCTTCAAAAAGATGCCTCAGTGTGTGTACTGGTGTACAAAGATCTTTCCCTCTCTCCCTCCCTTCATACATCCCTCCATCTCTCCCTCCCTTCATACATCCCTCCATCTCTCCCTCCCTTCATACATCCCTCCATCTCTCCCTCCCTTCATACATCCCTCCATCTCTCCCTCCCTTCATACATCCCTCCATCTCTCCCTCCCTTCATACATCCCTCCATCTCTCCCTCCCTTCATACATCCCTCCATCTCTCCCTCCCTTCATACGTCCCTCCATCTCTCCCTCCCTTCATACATCCCTCCATCTCTCCCTCCTTCATACATCCCTCCATCTCTCCCTCCCTTCATACATCCCTCCATCTCTCCCTCCCTTCATACATCCCTCCATCTCTCCCTCCCTTCATACATCCCTCCATCTCTCCCTCCCTTCATACATCCCTCCATCTCTCCCTCCCTTCATACATCCCTCCATCTCTCCCTCCCTTCATACATCCCTCCATCTCTCCCTCCCTTTATACATCCCTCCATCTCTCCCTCCCTTCATACATCCCTCCATCTCTCCCTCCCTTCATACATCCCTCCATCTCTCCCTCCCTTCATACGTCCCTCCATCTCTCCCTCCCTTCATACGTCCCTCCATCTCTCCCTCCCTTCATACATCCCTCCATCTCTCCTCCCTTCATACATCCCTCCATCTCTCCCCCCTTCATACATCCCTCCATCTCTCCCTCCCTTCATACATCCCTCCATCTCTCCCTCCCTTCATACATCCCTCCATCTCTCCCTCCCTTCATACGTCCCTCCATCTCTCCCTCCCTTCATACGTCCCTCCATCTCTCCCTCCCTTCATACATCCCTCCACTCTCCCTCCCTTCATACATCCCTCCATCTCTCCCTCCCTTCATACGTCCCTCCATCTCTCCCTCCCTTCATACATCCCTCCATCTCTCCCTCCCTTCATACATCCCTCCATCTCTCCCTCCCTTCATACATCCCTCCATCTCTCCCTCCCTTCATACATCCCTCCATCTCTCCCTCCCTTCATACATCCCTCCATCTCTCCCTCCCTTCATACATCCCTCCATCTCTCCCCCACTTCATACGTCCCTCCATCTCTCCCTCCCTTCATACATCCCCCATCTCTCCCCCCCCTTCATACGTCCCTCCATCTCTCCCTCCCTTCATACGTCCCTCCCCCTCCCCATTCTCTCCCTCCCTTCAATACATCCTCCCTCAAATTCCTCTCCCTCCCTTCATACGTCCCTCCATCTCTCCCTCCCTTCATACATCCCTCCATCTCTCCCTCCCTTCATACATCCCTCCATCTCTCCCTCCCTTCATACATCCCTCCATCTCTCCCTCCCTTCATACATCCCTCCATCTCTCCTCCCCTTCATACATCCCCCCATCTCTCCCTCCCTCATACATCCCTCCATCTCTCCCTCCCTTCATACGTCCCTCCATCTCTCCCTCCCTTCATACATCCCTCCATCTCTCCCTCCCTTCATACGTCCCTCCATCTCTCCCTCCCTTCATACATCCCTCCATCTCTCCCTCCCTCAAAACATCCCTCCATCTCTCCCTCCCTTCATACATCCCTCCATCTCTCCCTCCCTTCATACATCCCTCCATCTCTCCCTCCCCTTCATACCCCTCCATCTCTCCCCCCTTCATACGTCCCTCCATCTCTCCCTCCCTTCATACATCCCTCCATCCCCCCCTCCCTTCATACGTCCCTCCATCTCTCCCTCCCTTCATACGTCCCTCCATCTCTCCCTCCCTTCATACTCCCCTCCTCTCTCTCCCCCCTTCATACATCCCTCCATCTCTCCCTCCCTTCATACACCCCTCCATCTCTCCTCCCTTCATACGTCCCTCCATCTCTCCCTCCCTTCATACATCCCTCCATCTCTCCCTCCCTTCATACATCCCTCCATCTCTCCCTCCCTTCATACATCCCTCCATCTCTCCCTCCCTTCATACATCCCTCCATCTCTCCTCCCTACATACATCCCTCCATCTCTCCCTCCCTTCATACATCCCTCCATCTCTCCCCCCCTTCATACATCCCTCCATCTCTCCCTCCCTTTATACATCCCTCCATCTCTCCCTCCCTTCATACGTCCCTCCATCTCTCCCTCCCTTCATACATCCCTCCATCTCTCCCTCCCTTCATACATCCCTCCATCTCTCCCTCCCTTCATACATCCCTCCATCTCTCCCTCCCTTCATACGTCCCTCCATCTCTCCCTCCCTTCATACGTCCCTCCTCTCTCCCTCCCTTCATACATCCCTCCATCTCTCCCTCCCTTCATACATCCCTCCATCTCTCCCTCCCTTCATACATCCCTCCATCTCTCCCTCCCTTCATACATCCCTCCATCTCTCCCTCCCTTCATACATCCCTCCATCTCTCCCTCCCTTCATACATCCCTCCATCTCTCCCTCCCTTCATACATCCCTCCATCTCTCCCCTCCCTTCATACATCCCTCCATTCTCCCTCCCTTCATACATCCCTCCATCTCTCCCTCCCTTCATACATCCCTCCATCTCTCCCTCCCTTCATACATCCCTCCATCTCTCCCTCCCTTCATACGTCCCTCCATCTCTTTCCCCCCCTTCATACATCCCTCCATCTCTCCCTCCCTTCATACATCCCTCCATCTCTCCCTCCCTTCATACATCCCTCCATCTCCTCCCTCCCTTCATACAGTCCCTCCATCTCTCCCTCCCTTCATACATCCCTCCATCTCTCCCTCCCTTCATGCATCCCTCCATCTCTCCCTCCCTTCATACATCCCTCCATCTCTCCCTCCCTTCATACGTCCCTCCATCTCTCCCTCCCTTCATACTCCCTCCATCTCTCCCTCCCTTCATACTCCCTCCATCTCTCCCTCCCTTCACACATCCCTCCACTCTCCCTCCCTTCATACGTCCCTCCTCTCTCCCTCCCTTCATACTCCCTCCATCTCTCCCTCCCTTCATACATCCCCCATCACCCCTCCCTTCATACGTCCCTCCATCTCTCCCTCCCTTCACACATCCCTCCATCTCTCCCTCCCTTCATACATCCCTCCATCTCTCCCTCCCTTCATACTCCCTCCATCTCTCCCTCCTTCATACGTCCCTCCATCTCCCCTCCCTTCACACATCTCTCCATCTCTCCCTCCCTTCATACATCCCTCCACCTCTTCCTCCCTTCATACGTCCCTCCATCTCTTCCTCCCTTCATACGTCCCTCCATCTCTCCCTCCCTTCATACGTCCCTCCATCTCTCCCTCCCTTCATACTCCCTCCATCTCTCCCTCCCTTCATACGCCCCCCATCTCCCCCTCCCTTCATACTCCCTCCATCTCTCCTCCCTTCATACGTCCCTCCATCTCTCCCTCCCTTCATACATCCCTCCATCTCTCTCCCTCCCTTCATACGTCCCTCCATCTCTCCCTCCCTTCATACATCCCTCCATCTCTCCCTCCCTTCATACTCCCTCCATCTCTCCCTCCCTTCATACATCCCTCCATCTCTCCCTCCCTTCATACGTCCCTCCATCTCTTCCTCCCTTCATACATCCCTCCATCTCTCCCTCCCTTCATACATCCCTCCATCTCCCCTCCCTTCATACTCCCTCCATCTCTCCCTCCCTTCATACGTCCCTCCATCTCCTTCCCTTCATACATCCCCCATCTCTCCCTCCCTTCATACATCCCTCCCATCTCTCCCTTCATACATCCCTCCATCTCTCCCTCCCCTTTATACATCCCTCCATCCCTCCCTCCCTTCATACGTCCCCCCCATCTCCCCCCCTTCACACATCCCCCCATCTCTCCCTCCCTTCATACGTCCCTCTATCTCTTCCTCCCTTCATACTCCCTCCATCTTTTCCCTCCCTTCATACATCCCTCCATCTCTCCCTTCATACATCCCTCCATTTTTCTCCCTCCCTTTATACGTCCCTCCATCTCCCCCTCCCTTCACAAAATCCCTCCATCTCCCCTCCCTTCCCTACGTCCCTCATCTCTTCCTCCCTTCATACTCCATCCATCTCTCCCTCCCTTCATACATCCCTCCATCTCTCCCTTCATACATCCCTCCATCTCTTCCTCCATCATACATCCCTCCATCTCCCCCCCCCTTCATACGTCCTCTCCATCTCTTCCTCCCTTCATACGTCCCTCCATCTCTCCCTCCCTTCATACATCCCTCCATCTCCCCCCTCCCTTCATCCGTCCCTCCATCTCTCCCTCCCTTCATACATCCCTCCATCTCTCCCCCCCTTCATACTCCCTCCATCTCTCCCTCCCTTCATCTCCTCCATCTCTCCCCCTTCATC